AGAATAAATTCTATTGAATATATATTATATATATATATATAAAATAATGCTTAATTAGGAGGTATTAAAATAAAAATAAAATATATTTAAAGTATTTAATTAAAAATAAATAATAAAAATAATAAACATTAATTCATCTGAACACTGCAGCAAATTGTTTTGTTTTTTTTTGCTATTTTCATTGCTGCGAGTCTCTAATCCTTGCTGCGAGGCTCTGGGGTGCTGCTGCTGCTGTTGCTGCTGCGAGTGTGCAGGAGCAGCAGCAGCAGCAGCAGCAGATGCTGCTGCTGCAGCAGTAGACAGCGAAATTAGTTGAACGACAATACTTTATTATCTCTAAAAAACACAAAATTAAATACAAAGAGTTGCTGCTGCATGCAATTGCTGCTGAGATCTGCAGCACTGCTGCACAGCAAAGACTCGGCTCACGCGTCTGCTCAGGGCACTGCTGCTGCTGCTGCTGCTGTCGCTGCTGCTGCTGCTGCAGCAAAGGTTTCTTGCTGCTGGTATTGCTGCTGCTATAGACTTTCTCGTGTCTTTTAGGACATTATTTTGTTGTATTTCCACAAAGGCATTGATATAAGCTGAGGTGTGTGCAGCAGCAGCACGTGCAGCAGCAGCAGCAGCAGCCGCAGCAACAGCAGCAGCAGCAGCAGCAGCTACGTGTTGCTGCGGCGGCCCGTGAGCGCCACCGACCTTGCTGGGTTTGTCTGGGGGGCCCCTTTGTTTATGTTTGTTTGAAAGAGTTTGTTTTTATTTAATTTTTAAATTAATAGAACTTTATGTAGTAATATTTTCTTTTCTTCTGAGGGAAGCAGCTAGGGATTGAGCCGACGGCCGCTGCGCTGCTGTCTGTCTGTACACCCGAAGCTGCTGCTGCATTGCTGTCCTTTCTTGCTTTCATTAACACAAGATGGGGGGGATAATGAGTGTAAATAAACCCTCGCAAGAGGCAAGTGCTTCATATCGAGAGACTGCTGCTGCAGCTAGCCACCGACGAACCCCTGCTGCTTCTCCCGGTGCTGCAGCAACAGCAGGAGCAGCAAACAGCAGCAGCAGAAATGCCACTGCAGCAAGAACTGCACAGACAGACAAAACTTCGTCAAAAACAGCAGGCCGAACAGGCTCTAGCGGGAGCTCTGCCTCTAAAGACAGAGAGGGCAGCAGCAGCAAGAACAGGAGCAGCAGCAGCAGCAGCAGCAGCAGCAAGAACAGGAACAGTAGCAGCAGCAGCAGCAAGAACAGGAGCAGCAGCAGCAGCAGCACTGCTCTGAGAAGCAGCAGCAACACATCCTCGAAGAAGAGCAGCAGCACTAAAGCAGCAGCAGCAACAGCAGCACTACGCACAACCAGCAGGAGGCCCAGGGGTCGCCCCAGGGGTGGCTTTGGGAGTGTATTGGATGCTGTTCGCGGTGTATCTGCAGCGGAGACAGAGAAAAAGCAGCAGCAGCAGCAGCGGCAGCAGCAGCAGAAGAAGCAAAAGAAACCAGAGCCGGAGGCACAGAAAGATGTTAAAGAAGAACTGCAAAAACGCATGCATGAGAAGCAAAGAGAAGAAAGACACAAAAAAAGAAGTGCTTCTGCTGCTGCACAAGAAACAATGAAAGCAAAGATATCCACTGTAAAGACAGAGCAGCAAAAGGGTGCTGCCAGCAGCACCAACAGCAGCCGCAGCAGCGACAGCAGCAGCACCAGCAGCAGCAGCAGCAAGGCACAAGCAGCAGCTGCCTCCAAGAAACGAAAGGAATCCGGAGCAGCAAACTCTAGCGCGGATAGCAGCAAGACCAAGACAGAGAAGCAGCAAGAGAAGAGGCAGCGCCGCTGCTGCTCTCGGCGTTAGTGCTGGTGCTTCTGCGTGAATCGAATAGCTGCAAAACAATTTAAAAAGACATTTCTTTAGTTGGCTTCTTGTCTTTATCATGCATGTGGGCCGACCGACGCCGCACGTAGAGCCCTGCAGCAGCAGCAGCAGCTGTTGCTGCTGCAGCAACTGAACCAGCGGCTGCTGTTGCTGCTGCTGCAGCGGCTGTTGCTGCTGCTGCAGCTGTTGCTGCACCAGCTGCTGCAGTAAGTAGTAGCATAAAAAGAGGCACTGGCCGGGCTAGCGCTAGCTGCCGATTTTTTTTCGATTGCCTCTTTTGTTTTTAAACTTGTCGTGTGCACGCCGCGCTGATGAAGATAGAGTCTAGGGTTTAGGGTTTAGGGTTTAGGGTTTAGGGTTTAGGCTTTAGAAAGGCATTTCCTACTGTTATAAATCAAGAAGCAACAGAGACAACTAACAGTACTGTAAAAGCGTGAGAGGCTTTGTTCTTCTCCTTCTAAGGAATTAGGTGTATAGTAAGCCAGGGGGCGTATATTATATATAGTGCTTTGCAGCAGAACATCTGCAAATTTTAAACCTTCGGCTTTCTTCTCTTTGTTTGGATATTAAAGGCTGCATTACCTGAAAGCATTCTTAATGATGTATTTACAGATGCATTTGTTGAGGTACATCGAGTTTTCCTGTGGTGGCTGCTGTGGGTGAGAGTATGTCTTGCTTTTCTCTATGGTACTGGGACCCTCTAAACAAGGACTCTCGAATTATAATTTAATTCAATTATACAATTTCTAGTTTAAATTTAATGTGTTTTTCTCTCTGCGGCAGTCGCTGCAGAAACAGCAGTAAGCCAACGGCGCAGGGCATGCGGCCAGTCAGACACCATCACAGGGGGAAGCTCGGGAGGGTTCTTAAGGAAAAATGTTTATTAAAAGATGAATTTATATTTAAATTAATAAAATTAAATGTTTTGAATAATTTACAAGGGCGATCGACAGCAATTCTGCTTCATCTGCTGCTGCTGGCTGATGAAGGACCGCTGGAAGTCCTTGCATTGTACAGTCATCAGATCTCCTTTTGAAATACCCCTAGACTTTGTTTTCTCAATTATTTATATCTTTTAAGGGTTTAATTTGTTTCTTTTAGATTTACATCAAGACGAAACAAAACCTTTTGCTGGCCGACTTCGTCTTGTGCCGCTTGCGCTCGAGGCGTGTCGTCGGTGCTGGTGTGCCTTTCATAGGTTTTTTCTTTTTCTTTGTATCGATGCGCTATATATCTAATTATATTGTCTTTCCCTTCTTCCTTTTAAACAAAATCGTGTAGAAGATATGGATTTGGGGGTGCCTTTACGTCAGTTTCCCCGTTCTGAAGGCGCCTAGGCGGCAGCAGCCTTCTGCTTGCATTGCAGCAGCAGGCTGCAGCACTTCCTCAGGTCTTCTTCATCTTTGTCTGGAGAAAAAGACATAAAAACAAAGCCAAATGACGCGCTCTATAACTGTGAACCCGGGTTCTCCTCGTTCTCCTCGGGTGTTTGTTGCTTTTGCACAGCCGGAGGCCCCTGCAAATCAAATATACCTAAAGACGCAGCCAGATGGCGGCGTTATATTTTATATGGCCGCATCACTAGACCGGCCTTTGCAGCAAATATTCGACTTTTATGCGTACAATGGATTCATGACTGAAGCCTACTTCGTCAAAATGGTAAGAAGACTTTATTTTCAATCTTGAAATATATGCATTAAATAAGAAGTTGAATAAGCGTCAATCTGCTCTCCCCTAGCATATTCAAATATACAGATGCTACAGCTTCTGATCCTGCTTCTTCTCTTCTTTTTCTTCATGCTTACTATCGAATTATAAGGTCTTTTCTGTAACATTCTCCCACTTTCGTTTGCTTGCAAGGCAGGTGAATGCGAGGCTTGCAGCTTTATTATTACAAATGCATGCCTTGCGAGTTCTGCTGCAGTGCGTTGAAAATAAATTGTTTCCCAGCAATAAAGACCCAGATCCTTTGAAGCATATCTTTAAAACGGTGGCGAAGGGAGAGCGATGCGTTGGTGAGGAACACTGGCGTATGTTGTTGCGTATTCAACTTCTGCTTGGACTCAAATGCAGCATTCCTGCACTTTTTCGTGAATGAATTGTTTACTTTATTCATAAATTGAACATATTTTATTTCTCTGATCATTATGAATGCCTGTTTCTGGGATATATTTCGTTTGATTTGTGTATTCGAAACCAACCCCCCCCCCCCC